CTTTTACAAAGAAAAATAAACAAATAAGGGCATCTACATAGAAAAAAAGAAAAAGTACTAAAGATACCAAAACAACTGAATGATGGCTGTAGATTTTAGGGAAAAAAGCTCATATAAACCATTTTTAAAAATTTCCTAAAAATACATTGCTGTTTTACTTTAATATTTTCTCTTTTATTTTCCCAAAAATGTTTCCAAATTTCCTTTAGCTCGAGTTCATGTTTAGTTCTGTTTTTATTTCAAATTATTTTTATCTTTAATTTAGTACTTAGGCCCTTTTTACCGTTATCATGCGAAAAAAAAAACTACCCACCAATGAATGTATATTAAAGTTAACACAAAAAGACTCTAAACAAAAAATTAAATTAGTAACAGTCATGACTGGAAAAGAAGCATAACTCTGTGGCTACAAAGACAAGACCTTATTTTTTGGAAGCAGCCTTAACTTCACTTCTTCTTGATGATGTTCTTATATGTATAGTTCTAAAACTGGATTACTTTAGCCAAAAGATGTAGTGCTTTGGGCATGTACCAGCATGTCTGTGTTTCAAGTAAAAAAGTTAAGGTTATTTGAGGATTTGTGGCAAACAAAATACAGTGAAAAAGTAGCGCGTGACTAGAATAAATATTAACAAATATTTAAACAAATACATACCAAACAACAGGAAGTGGGGGGTGGACAAGAACAACAAAGTAAACTGGTAAAAAAAAATAAAAGTTTGCAAAACCTTAAGAACTTTTATAACATTTGCTTAGCTAGATTTAGTTTAAAAACTACTAAAATTCTTAATTTTTAGGAAAGAAATTAGGAAATGTATTGAAATATATAAAAAGGTGTTTAACAACTAAACTAAAAACTCTGAAAATAAATACAATTCAAACAAATTATTAACAAAATCTTTTAGTTAAATTTTCTTTTTTTCAGTTTTGCAAAACATTTCAAGTAATTATCATTATAAAAAAATATTTTTTGGTCTTTTTATCGGCAATTACTATATTTTAATAAAAATAGTAGTTGCAGTAGTTTTTCTCTTTTAAATGCCACCAAAATATAAACAAAACCAAGAAAATTGTCTAAACAAGTTCAATGTCGTTGTTGTGGCAAATTTTTTCTCAACATTAAGCTTTCTTTAACTCTATTAATGCCACATAATACCTACAGCGAGTTTGTTGTTTGTCCAACTTCTTGGATTTACTTTGTGTTGTCTATGAATCTTAAGAATTTTTTTCGGTAAATAAGAAAATAGTTTTGTTTTTTTTTTTTACATTTCAGTTTTGTCCAAAAATGCACTTAAGAACAGCAAGTTATAGCAATAACATAACAATTTACTCTTGCATGAGTGTAACTGCGTTAAGGTATTTTGGAATATGGTAGCGTATGAGTGATATTGAAATTGTACTTATATAAAACCTCATATGTGATATTAACTACGTAAGTAATAGAACACTGGAATGTTTTTAGCAACGGTTAACTTAAGAATTATTAAATTACTTAAAAATGTATACATACTTCAATAGTGACAAAAGATAATGCGTTGGCTTAAGAGCAAAAACTGGCAGACAAAAAGTCATGCAAACTGTTTTAAGCTAGTATATCATTTTTTTGTTTACTAAAAGCGAACGAAACAAGTTTGAAATTCTATAGCAGACCATAACGAATCTTAAATACCTTCTATTGTTAGTTCAAAATTAGGTAAAAGTAACTTCGATTTTAGTTCGAAGTTCGTTAGGGAAAGTTCAAAACTGCTTGTTAAAGTTATTTCGGAGGTAGTTAGGTTATTAGTAAGTGAGTTAGTTAGTTAATTAATTATTTAGATAGTAAGTTAGTTAGTTTGTTAGTTAGTTAGTTAGTTAGTTAGTTAGTTAGTTAGTTAGTAGTTAGTTAGTTAGTTAGTTAGTTAGTTAGTTAGGTTAGTTAGTTAGTTAGTTAGTTAGTTAGTTAGTTAGTTAGTTAGTTAGTTAGTTAGTTAGTTAGTTAGTTAGTTAGTAGTTAGTTGTTAGTTAGTTAGTTAGTTAGTTAGTTAGTTAGTTAGTTAGTTAGTTAGTTAGTTAGTTAGTTAGTTAGTTAGTTAGTTAGTTAGTTAGTTAGTTAGTTAGTTAGTTAGTTAGTTAGTTAGTTAGTAGTTAGTTAGTTAGTTAGTTAGTTAGTTCGTTAGTTGTAGTTAGTTCGTTAGTTAGGTTTTCGTTCGTTCGTTAGTTATTGTTCGTTGTTCGTTAGTTTCGTTCGTTGTTCGTTCGTTGTTAGTTCGTTGTTCAGTTCGTTCGTTATTCGCCTTTAGTTCGTTCGTTCGTTTTGTTCGTTCGTTGTTCTGCAGTTATGGTCGAGGTTCGTTCCAAAGTTATTTCGAATTTAGTTGTCCTTTGTCCTGATTGTTCGAATTATGATCTTCAAATTCTCTTGCAAAATTTTGAGAGTATTACTAATTGTTACAAATGGAGCCAATACCTTAAATCAACTTAAGTTACTGTAGAGGATGAAACGTTATAGCCATACAATGTTCTTAGTTAAACATTTTTTTCCCAACAACACCACCAAACAACATATGCTAAAATTTCCAAAACAAAAACGGAACAAATACAACAGAATTTAACAAAAGTCCAAAAAAGAAACAGGCCATGTTAAACAACAACCGGGACAAAAAAGGGGTTCGCAAAAAAACATGCAACAAACAACAGTGTGACATATGCAAGTAGAAATATATTTTTTTTTAAGGGTGTGTGTAAAGAATGTACATTAGGGTGGCACTATTTTATTACAGCTAAATTATGTTTATGATGACAACTAAGCAAAAGAAAAAGTTTAATAATATTTGTTTTTAAGCACCCTAATATTTATAAATTTTTTCGGAATGTTGACTTGCTATGAGAACAAAAACAGCTGTGTGTGGCTAAATCATGATGATGAAGATCAGCATCACGATTTAGCTTTAAACATAAGGCCAGTATATATAATGATGATGTTGCATTCACTGGCCATCAGCAGACCAACTGACTGCCTGCAAAAAAAAAACGGTCGCCGGAATTGAAAAATAACAACTCATAGCCACCAATAGAGTTTATGGTCGTATATGTATGTATATTTTTTCTGCAACCAGGTCGTAACATTGAGTATGTAAGAGTGTTGAGTGCTTTTTTGCATCCTGTTGTATTTTGCAATTTTGTTAAATTTTGTTTTTTGTTTGTTTGTATAATGTTTTCATTTTTTTGGGCAAGTTTTTAAACATAAAGAGAAACATATTGGACATGGTTTTTGTTTATATATGGTCTCTTAATATAATTTTTTTGGGGAACTTTTTTTTTGGTAAAAAAAAATTAGAAAAACTAAAAGGGAAGGTAGGCCAATACAAGTTAAACGAACTTAGAAATGTTTAATAAATTTAAAAAATTAGTTTCAAATTTATTGTTTTCTTTGTGTAGTTTTGCTTTTAAACAAATTAACTGGTATAAATAGATACTTCACTTAATATAAATGGAAGTCTAGAATGCTTGATTATTTCCCTTTAAAAGTTTTATTTTTAGATTTCTACTTTTTATTGCTTCAATGTTTTCCCCTCCCACAACTTTTATTCATTTTATAGAAAGTCAAGTTTAAAGGCTATTTGTTTTTGCTGTAACATCATTTAGTCATTTGTTCTAAACAATTCTGAAATTGTTTAAAAACAAACAAACAAGAGTTTAATAACAGAATTTGGGCATTGGCAATGGAAATTATTGCATTATTGAAAGCAGAGTATTTTATTAAGAGGAGATTAAAGATACAAATTACTGTATTGCTCAGATATCTGAACTTTAATACCTTTCAAGAATTTAGTTAAAAAATTGTTGTATTATTTTTCGAGATAAGATGCAAATCATTTTATAGAGTCAACTTCGTATAAAGATAGACTTATATAAACAAGTATAAAAATTTGTATTCTTTTTGTTTTTTCGACGAACAAATTAAGTTAAATTAGTATTCATCAATTACAATGTCCTACATACATGATTCATTTATACACTAAATAAACTTATAGAGAGAGAGGAAAAGAATTGAAACACAAATTGACAGTAAAGGTTGCGCAAAGACGGTTTACAGCAACATATGTAGCTTCCGATTGTGACAAAAGAGTAATAACTTTAAAAATGTAATTACTTTATGTAAATTTAGCATAAAAACTTCATTTCTTTTTTGTAAATAAATTGAATTATTTAAACGCCAATATTTAGAGAAATGTTTTGTATTACATAATTTAAAATTACATATAACATACTTAAGACATTCTTATTACAAATGAGCCAGATGTTTGTTTGTATGTATGTTAGTATATTTTAGTAGAAAAAAAAACAAGCGAGTTTTATTTAGTTTATTTTTGTCTGCTTATTGTCTGCTATTACTGGTTGTGGCAACAAACAAAACATTGAAGCCAACACACAGTATGAAAAGACACAACACATCACGTGTTGGTAGCAGCAACAATGACAACAACAAAAATCAACAATCAACAATATAAAGTTTGCAAGAATCGTTTTGTATTATTAAATTACTACCGAAAGTGACGAATAAATCAAATTAATTTCTCTAGGGAACGTAAACCAAGCAAACCATACCCCTCATCGCCGACAAAAAAAAAGAAACACAGAATTTCATTTATACAGACTGACATTAATTCATATCAAATTTACTAAAATATATAGAAATTTAAGTTTTACTAAGATAACTTTAATATGATATTTTTTTTTATTTGAGTGATATATTCTGGCAATATTTTTGTATGTATAAGATAAGTTATCTGATATAAAGGTCTTGTTTTCCGTTTACTTTTCTCCAAAGACATCATTAATTTCTGTTTTTGTTGGCTGTTTGTTATTCAATTTATAGTGTTTTGTTGTTTTGTTTTCCAACTATGTTTGTGTCCTTTTGTTACAAATTTTAGTAGTTTTCCTATTATAAATCACTTTATGTTATTTTTATCATTTATATTTTGTTTTTAACATGTTTGTATTTTTTTATCTTTTTTTAGAAACCAAAATCAGCCAACATTAATCTTTGGAATTTTATCAAACATTGTTCTTGAAAGCTAACAAAGGTCTAAAGAAAAGGAAAATGTTTCACAAAAAGGTAAGAATCAAATATTTTTCAACTATAAATCTTAAAAAAAAAATGTCAATGAAATAAAGAAAAAGAAAAAATAAACTTAAATCAATTAGACTGTGCTGCAGAGAAATTTATAATGGTTGACAAATCATCTGCTTACTTTGTTCCTGCATGTGTAATATCTAGAACTAACTTCGATCTGAATTCGAGGAAATACAGAAGTATTTTGAAACTACTTCGAACATAATTTAAACTTACTTAACTTACTTACTTCTAAATAACTTATAACTACTTTCAAACCATCTTTCTAACTTTGTATTGTTCAAACAATGTTTGAAATAACTTCAAAATAAGATTGAACTGATTTAGAACTAAAAATTCGAGGGCTGTCGGAAAATTGATTTTAAACATATCGTACATATCGTCTTCTCGATATGTACATATAGATGTGAAATTCCAAACAAGATCACAATATTAAATTTGTCCTTTTCATTGTGATGTTGCTGAATTAGACATAAAAGCAAGTACGAGCAGAAAAGTCCTTTTGAAAGTAATTTTTCATTGTTGCACTGTGTTAATTATCAGCTTATGTTACTTTTTTTATATAAGAAATCTCTTTAATGTTTGTATATTTTTATATTCAATTAAATCATTAATTTGTTTTAATTAAAAAACATGCTTACACATGTATTCAGTCATATATATAAAACAAATGTTACGTGTATAGCGTAAAAAGTGGAGTTTAAAATAATAGCAGAAAAAATAAATTAAAAAAGTGGTAAAACTGAAGCATGTCTAACCTTATGGGACTTATGATATCTACAACTCCCGGTTCTTAAAGCTAATTTTTTGTAACGTTTATTGTTCATTGAACAACTCAAAGGAATAACCAAAAACTTAAGTATTTTAAAGTTGTTTAGTTTTTGCCATTTTCTATAATTTCCCTTTCATCTGTTTGTAAATACAGTGTTGTCCCTGTAAATTCTGTTGTTTTTCCGCTCAATTTAATGAAATAATTTATTGTCTGTTCAGTCGTGTTTGCATAAACATACATACATACATATTTTTTTGTTGTTGTTAAATAACACCATTTGCCTTTTAAAATTCAGACAAAGCCATTATACAGATATGCTTTTGTTGTAAAGTTTTTTTCTCTCTATAATTAAAAATAACAATATTTCAGATTTTTTTGGACTATAAAGCTACATTTTCAACACCTAATAATGGAAAAATGTGTTAAAAGTATGTTTTTTATTTGAGGCAAACTGAAAATGTATGGTTTTAATGACAATGAAGGCGTATGAGTGATTTTTATTATTAAATATCCATCATATGCAAGGGCATCACTTTATGAAATATAATTCAAATAAATCAGACGTAAGGTGGTATTTTTATAGGATTGTTATAGAGTTTTTGCAACATTAAAAAGAACTTAAATTCTTGTAAAGATTTAAGTAGTACTCCTCATATGACTTTTAATATGTGCCAAGCATGCAACTCACTGCGTATGATTTATATTTTATACTTAAAAACACTCATACGATCTCATTATCATCACAATAAAATTTTTTCTTTTCATCAAAAATAATCGAAATATTTTAAATCTAAGATTTGCATTAATCTCTAAATTACTATCTTCTTTAATGCATAATGAATTTCCATAGTATTTGCAACCGCAAATTGTATTCTATACGCAGACATATAAAAATTTGTTTTTTTTCTAATTCCAAGAATGAATACTTTAAAATATTGAAGTAGTATTTAGGAATTCCTCTTTTGTTCATCGTTAGTCTACATTAAACCTCTTAGAAAATGAACCATGTCTGTCTGTGCATAAGCATTTAAATATCAATGTAATTTACCACGTCACGACACTTTCAATAAATGTTCTAACGAATATATTCAAACATTTAGCAAAGGCAGACAGTAGTAGCGAGTATGAGTAGCAACAACATCAACAGTATTTAAGTACACATTATCTGTGATTTTGTTTTGTTAAAACGTTTTGTTGAAAACGCACACCAAATTGTACTTATTTTTACATTTCAATTGCTGCAATTACCTCCATGGTTTTTCCCCTCTTACAATACAAAATAAACATTGTCTTGATCGATATTTTATTACAGCGGAGGCTTAAAATTCTGTATGTATTTGTTGTACTAAAGATGAATATAGTATTTGTCTTCACCCAAAACCCTTAATATTTTACTATGTAAATTAATCACATCAAAGGAAACAGTAAAAATAAAAAATTACAAAGTATTTAGTTCAATGTTTGCAATTTAAAATCGATATGTTTTTCTTCGATTTAAATTTAATAACACTTAAGATATAGCAAATACTTTTAGCAATATTTATTTCTTTTGTATTTTCAATTTAAAATTGTTAAAGAATCATTACCTTTTAAAGTATGTAAAGTATGTAAGTATTTAAATTCTCCCTTCCATTATTTTCTAATTAAATGTCACTCATACTCACAATTTAAATACCATTTTTTCAAACCAAAAATTCACATATTAAAAAGATATGTTTAATTTTGTTTATTTTAACTTTTACATAAAATTATATTAAATATCTAGAAAAACAATTTACATGCTTTTTCTACTTCTCTTTCGCACATAAACAAAAATGTAATTGATAAAACCACATATAGAACATTTACCCACATTTTAATGCAGATGTGTATCTAAATACAGCCTTCACAAAAAGTTTATGGTTAAACAAAAAATTTAGTTTTATGGTAGTTTAATTTTAATACTAATATGTAAGATACTCCCACTAAAATTTTCGTGTGATTTCTTTTCTTAATTTTAGGCAGTACAAAAAACTACTGGGATTGTACGAGACCAACAGCATTTTACATTAACTTATCTGATGACAATATCTTCACAAAGAGCTTAAATGCTATACAAACATATGTAATCACTGCTCATACAACCATTAACAAGTTTCTATTTTAATTGTTATAAGCCACAATATTTTTATACTAATTTCATTTAAAAACCAAATAATGTTTCTAATATAAATGTTATATCTAAATTAAAATTGTTTTATTGAATTTCCAGTCTACATATAGTCAAAGTAAGTAAAATTATTTTTAAAATATCTTAAAACATGATAGCTGAGATCCATACGCTTCCAATGAATACCATCATCATTGACATCCGTTGAGCCTGCTTAAAGTTATGATCGTTTAAAGCCAATAGTTTTCCTCCCAAAAAGCTGCAAATGTGGAGGAAGAGGGAAAAAACTTTTAAAGCAACACTTCTAGACGGCTTAAGCGATTTTAATGATTTTGGTGTCTATGGAAAGCTCTTGAATTATACTTTCTGCTAATGACAAAAGCGTTTTCAGAATAACGCTTAAAGTGATGTTTAAGCTTAAATTAGATAGATTTGCTAATAACTTAAAAACGTTATGATATTATGAAACGAAACTTAAACCATCAGATAGCTGAGATCCATGCGCTTTCAATGAATACCAACATCATTGACATCCGTTGAGTCTGCTAGGAGTTCTGATCGTTTAAAGTTAATTGTTTCCATTCCAATGTGTATAAAGTGAGTGCGAAAAAATGCTAAAGAAATTTTGTTGAAAAATTTTTTGGTATCAGGAGCACAAGATCAAGTAGAAGGTGGAAATCGCATAACAAAAATGTTTAGACGCTTATAGCTTTTAAATGGCTAAAACGATCTTAATGATATTGGTGTCTATGAAAAGCTCGTGAATTCTACTTTCTGCCCATGAAGAAATAGTTTTCAGAAAAACGCTTAAAGTGATGTTTAAGCGTAAAATTAGATGAATTAGCTTATAACTTCAAAGCTTTAAGATATTTTCAAACGGAGCTTAGATTATCAGATAGCTGGGATCCATACGCTTCCAATGAATACCATCATCATTGACATCCGTTGAGCCTGCTAAAAGTTATGATCGTTTAAAGCCAATAGCTTTCCTCCCAAAAAGCTGCAAATGTGGAGGAAGAGGGAAAAAACTTTTAAAGCAACACTTCTAGACGGCTTAAGCGATTTTAATGATTTTGGTGTCTATGGAAAGCTCTTGAATTCTACTTTCTGCTAATGACAAAAGCGTTTTCAGAATAACGCTTAAAGTGATGTTTAAGCGTAAAATTAGATGAATTAGCTTATAACTTCAAAGCTTTAAGATATTTTCAAACGGAGCTTAGATTATCAGATAGCTGGGATCCATACGCTTCCAATGAATACCATCATCATTGACATCCGTTGAGCCTGCTAAAAGTTATGATCGTTTAAAGCCAATAGTTTTCCTCCCAAAAAGCTGCAAATGTGGAGGAAGAGGGAAAAAACTTTTAAAGCAACACTTCTAGACGGCTTAAGCGATTTTAATGATTTTGGTGTCTATGGAAAGCTCTTGAATTATACTTTCTGCTAATGACAAAAGCGTTTTCAGAATAACGCTTAAAGTGATGTTTAAGCTTAAATTAGATAGATTTGCTAATAACTTAAAAACGTTATGATATTATGAAACGAAACTTAAACCATCAGATAGCTGAGATCCATGCGCTTTCAATGAATACCAACATCATTGACATCCGTTGAGTCTGCTAGGAGTTATGATCGTTTAAAGTTAATTGTTTCCATTCCAAGGTGTATAAAGTGAGTGCGAAAAAATGCTAAAGAAAGTTTGTTGAAAAATTTTTTGGTATCAGGAGCACAAGATCAAGTAGAAGGTGGAAATCGCATAACAAAAATGTTTAGACGCTTATAGCTTTTAACTGGCTAAAGCGATCTTAATGATATTGGTGTCTATGAAAAGCTCGTGAATTCTACTTTCTGCCCATGAAGAAATAGTTTTCAGAAAAACGCTTAAAGTGATGTTTAAGCGTAAAATTAGATGAATTAGCTTATAACTTCAAAGCTTTAAGATATTTTCAAACGGAGCTTAGATTATCAGATAGCTGAGATCCATACGCTTCCAATGAATACCATCATCATTGACATCCGTTGAGCCTGCTAAAAGTTATGATCGTTTAAAGCCAATAGTTTTCCTCCCAAAAAGCTGCAAATGTGGAGGAAGAGGGAAAAAACTTTTAAAGCAACACTTCTAGACGGCTTAAGCGATTTTAATGATTTTGGTGTCTATGGAAAGCTCTTGAATTCTACTTTCTGCTAATGACAAAAGCGTTTTCAGAATAACGCTTAAAGTGATGTTTAAGCGTAAAATTAGATGAATTAGCTTATAACTTCAAAGCTTTAAGATATTTTCAAACGGAGCTTAGATTATCAGATAGCTGGGATCCATACGCTTCCAATGAATACCATCATCATTGACATCCGTTGAGCCTGCTAAAAGTTATGATCGTTTAAAGCCAATAGTTTTCCTCCCAAAAAGCTACAAATGTGGAGGAAGAGGGAAAAAACTTTTAAAGCAACAATTCTAGACGGCTTAAGCGATTTTAATGATTTTGGTGTCTATGGAAAGCTCTTGAATTCTACTTTCTGCTAATGACAAAAGCGTTTTCAGAATAACGCTTAAAGTGATGTTTAAGCGTAAAATTAGATGAATTAGCTTATAACTTCAAAGCTTTAAGATATTTTCAAACGGAGCTTAGATTATCAGATAGCTGGGATCCATACGCTTCCAATGAATACCATCATCATTGACATCCGTTGAGCCTGCTAAAAGTTATGATCGTTTAAAGCCAATAGTTTTCCTCCCAAAAAGCTGCAAATGTGGAGGAAGAGAGAAAAAACTTTTAAAGCAACACTTCTAGACGGCTTAAGCGATTTTAATGATTTTGGTGTCTATGGAAAGCTCTTGAATTATACTTTCTGCTAATGACAAAAGCGTTTTCAGAATAACGCTTAAAGTGATGTTTAAGCTTAAATTAGATAGATTTGCTAATAACTTAAAATCGTTATGATATTATGAAACGAAACTTAAACCATCAGATAGCTGAGATCCATGCGCTTTCAATGAATACCAACATCATTGACATCCGTTGAGTCTGCTAGGAGTTATGATCGTTTAAAGTTAATTGTTTCCATTCCAAGGTGTATAAAGTGAGTGCGAAAAAATGCTAAAGAAATTTTGTTGAAAAATTTTTTGGTATCAGGAGCACAAGATCAAGTAGAAGGCGGAAATCGCATAACAAAAATGTTTAGACGCTTATAGCTTTTAACTGGCTAAAGCGATCTTAATGATATTGGTGTCTATGAAAAGCTCGTGAATTCTACTTTCTGCCCATGAAGAAATAGTTTTCAGAAAAACGCTTAAAGTGATGTTTAAGCGTAAAATTAGATGAATTAGCTTATAACTTCAAAGCTTTAAGATATTTTCAAACGGAGCTTAGATTATCAGATAGCTGAGATCCATACGCTTCCAATGAATACCATCATCATTGACATCCGTTGAGCCTGCTAAAAGTTATGATCGTTTAAAGCCAATAGTTTTCCTCCCAAAAAGCTGCAAATGTGGAGGAAGAGGGAAAAAACTTTTAAAGCAACACTTCTAGACGGCTTAAGCGATTTTAATGATTTTGGTGTCTATGGAAAGCTCTTGAATTCTACTTTCTGCTAATGACAAAAGCGTTTTCAGAATAACGCTTAAAGTGATGTTTAAGCGTAAAATTAGATGAATTAGCTTATAACTTCAAAGCTTTAAGATATTTTCAAACGGAGCTTAGATTATCAGATAGCTGAGATCCATACGCTTCCAATGAATACCATCATCATTGACATCCGTTGAGCCTGCTAAAAGTTATGATCGTTTAAAGCCAATAGTTTTCCTCCCAAAAAGCTGCAAATGTGGAGGAAGAGGGAAAAAACTTTTAAAGCAACAATTCTAGACGGCTTAAGCGATTTTAATGATTTTGGTGTCTATGGAAAGCTCTTGAATTCTACTTTCTGCTAATGACAAAAGCGTTTTCAGAATAACGCTTAAAGTGATGTTTAAGCGTAAAATTAGATGAATTAGCTTATAACTTCAAAGCTTTAAGATATTTTCAAACGGAGCTTAGATTATCAGATAGCTGAGATCCATGCGCTTTCAATGAATACCAACATCATTGACATCCGCTGAGTCTGCTAGGAGTTCTGATCGTTTAAAGTTAATTGTTTCCATTCCAATGTGTATAAAGTGAGTGCGAAAAAATGCTAAAGAAATTTTGTTGAAAAATTTTTTGGTATCAGGAGCACAAGATCAAGTAGAAGGTGGAAATCGCATAACAAAAATGTTTAGACGCTTATAGCTTTTAAATGGCTAAAACGATCTTAATGATATTGGTGTCTATGAAAAGCTCGTGAATTCTACTTTCTGCCCATGAAGAAATAGTTTTCAGAAAAACGCTTAAAGTGATGTTTAAGCGTAAAATTAGATGAATTAGCTTATAACTTCAAAGCTTTAAGATATTTTCAAACGGAGCTTAGATTATCAGATAGCTGGGATCCATACGCTTCCAATGAATACCATCATCATTGACATTCGTTGAGCCTGCTAAAAGTTATGATCGTTTAAAGCCAATAGTTTTCCTCCCAAAAAGCTGCAAATGTGGAGGAAGAGGGAAAAAACTTTTAAAGCAACACTTCTAGACGGCTTAAGCGATTTTAATGATTTTGGTGTCTATGGAAAGCTCTTGAATTATACTTTCTGCTAATGACAAAAGCGTTTTCAGAATAACGCTTAAAGTGATGTTTAAGCTTAAATTAGATAGATTTGCTAATAACTTAAAAACGTTATGATATTATGAAACGAAACTTAAACCATCAGATAGCTGAGATCCATGCGCTTTCAATGAATACCAACATCATTGACATCCGTTGAGTCTGCTAGGAGTTATGATCATTTAAAGTTAATTGTTTCCATTCCAAGGTGTATAAAGTGAGTGCGAAAAAATGCTAAAGAAAGTTTGTGAATTCTACTTTCTGCCCATGAAGAAATAGTTTTCAGAAAAACGCTTAAAGTGATGTTTAAGCGTAAAATTAGATGAATTAGCTTATAACTTCAAAGCTTTAAGATATTTTCAAACGGAGCTTAGATTATCAGATAGCTGAGAT